TCAGCTCTTACTGTACAGTTTCAAGAACTGGCTGACTGCTGGATAATAAAGCAATCGTGAGTCGAACTTTCACTGATTGTAGGTGTTTCAGGGTCATTCGGCAAGTTGCCTCTCAGTCTCCAGCATGCCTGATTGTATTTCATTTGTCAAGTTTCAAAAACTTTTTCTTGTCTATGCTTAATTTTGACATTAATTTCATATCGTCTTCTTTCGAGCCTTCTGCAAGGAAGCGGACAAAACAATCGTACGTGTATATTCTTCCGAGAAAAGAACCGCAATACCACATAAAACGAGCATGTAGAACAATACGAAAAATGTGCGAAATATTTTGCACAGACATTTTGACACTACTTACATAAGCGCCATAATTAACTGTAATTCTGACAGATGGTGATTAGCGATCTCATCAAAGTATAGCCAGTTATTTGCTGACGAAACATTGCAACTTGTTATTACCGTATTTCAGGATTCAGCTGTGAGTCTCAAGTCGTACCCCTCTCTCTCCAACAAGCTAACAAGCCTATTACAAGTTCATTCAGCTGATTTCAGACTGTGTGCATGCGCTGTTGACGCGTTCGAATATGGTGCAAAGCTAGGGAATTCCTCGTTGAAGCAGATCTGCTGACGACAAAAATATGGTTTTTGGCACCTTGGTGGCATTTACTTAATGTTGCCACTTTACTCGGGTTGCTGGAGGCAGTCAGTGTATAAGATTTTTAACGTGAGCAGACAACTGACTATAGTTTTTACGCAGAACACACAAAAACGACCTTCTATGAACTTTGTTATGAATTTACATCGCGGAATGATTGATCTCATCATGGGGTTCAGTCTATTTTCGTGTTGATCAAGCACTTCTGGCGTTATTGCGTGGGCGTTGGTCTCTGGTCATTTAGGATGACTATAATTCATTGTATGGATTCCCCTACATTGAAAAAATTCCAAATTTTTAATCAGATTCTAGCTGATCTTTTCTGACTGTATCTTAGACGCCATTCTGACGGTCCTATATTATAAATCTAGTCTAGTCTGTTGTAATACCAACAATAGCCTGTCTTCCGGGAGACATGTCTTATAATAATGGCTTCTTGTTATGAAGTCCAGGTCGATTGTGGTAACGTTATTATTATCAAAGTTTTGACGATTGAGGGTTTTTAATGGCACTCGTGTTCGGCTGTTCTGATTTTACTTGTATGCATATTGTGCTTGTGCCAATCTTCATTTGAGGTCGAAATGTTTGGCGTCACTGCTGACGAAACCGGAAACGAAAGTGACATTATGCTGGAAGAGTTGGTAGAATTTCAAAAGGACTTCTTCACTTCTCTGAACCTACACTTCAGGTACTTTCCACCAGCTTTTATGAAATCTACCATCATGTTTCAATTGACAGAGTAATGGATATGCCGTCTCAGGAACTTGGGGCTCCTGCATACCGGAAATTTGATATTGAAGCATGGATGCCTGGAAGAAAATCATACGGTGAGGTACGAGGTACTAATATGAATGCATTTCGATGCTTTTCATGTGTTAATGCCTCTTCGATGTGACAACGATGGTCTGTTTTGCGCTATATCTAACCAGTTTTACATTTCACTTCCCACCCCCGTTTTTGCTCTTATTCGCTTGTTCGCCTTAGTTTTTCTTGTTGTTCTCAACGTATATTTTTTGATAAGGAATTTTGTAGGTTGCAGTTTTCATAGCTTTCATATATGGCCTTCACGCTTAAGGTGCATGTTTCAAACCTATACTCGATCGCGAATGCCCTTTGCTCCCTTCAGCGAACTTCCGTTTCAAGCAAAAAAACCATTTAAGTGAATGATGCCTTATTAACGTTGTCAAGGGGTGCATTCCATTTATAATTCTTTTGCGGATAGTTGCCTGAAGTTAGTTCTGTGTTGTTTATAGTCGCTGTTTGATAGCATTTTGGTAGGATTAATAGTAGTAGTATTTTGTCAGAAGGTTTTCATGATTCGAGTTTTCTTTAAGTTAATTTCTAGGCCCTTCTTGATGCTGGCGTCATTAAAGCCTTGAATTTTTCTCCCTGGTTCATCTGGGGACCTCGTGAGAGTCAGCAAACCGCCAGTAGTTTAAGAAAAATCCATTTATTCTGCCTGCACTTGATTCGCTAAAACGCCCTGCAAACTTCTTTTAGAGCATACATGAATTACTTACCTGATTTTGCATCTTAAAGGCGAATGCCTTTTTTGACTTTGAATTTATTTGTGCATTCATGAACGTTTCAGTAGCCCTTGCCTTTTTGTAGATCATGATACCACGAGGTCTCCGTAAAATTTCTCGAATACTTTTCTCCTCAGAGAATCTGAATTGAATGCTTTCCCGAAATAGACCAATTCCAAGAATAGTAACGTTTATAAACTCCGCCATGGCCGGTCCCAAGCCCGGATGAGAAAGGAGGAGGGTTGGAGACCGTGGCAAGTCT